TGATAATATAGTGACATTATTAATATTATCAGCACCTCCTAATGAATATTTAATTAATAGGATCCCGCCACTGATCTCCACTGATATGAAATCAGCACTGATCCCTCCCTGATGCTGTGTGTTGAACAGTAACACTCCGTTACTTGACTGAGTTGAGAAATCAAACTGAATATCACCGTTTGATCTGAAATCAATTGATCCATAAGCTCTATAACTAGGAGTGGACTGGTCTCCATTAAAACTAACAGTATTCAGTCTACAGTGATCATCTCTCATCTCTTCATCTCTACATGTACATCTAAACCCATTAGTAGTGTCATTAGTACACTGCCCACTGTTAGTGCATGTATTGACATTACAATCATTAGCTACACTACAGTTAGGTCCTGTATAAGATGGTGGACATGTACAGGTATATCCATTATCAGTCTCTATACAGGAGCCTCCATTACTGCAGGAATCAGGTCGACAGTAGTTGATGTTAATCTCACAGTTCTCTCCATCGTGACCAGCAGGACACTGTATCTGACACTCACGTCCAGTGAATCCTGTGATACAGGTGCATATGTAGCTCCCGAACCCGTTATAACAGATGCCATTATTGGAGCAAGGATTGGGGGAACACTCGTTAATGTCATCCTCACAGTTTGGGCCAGTGTACCCCACAGGGCAGGTACACTGGAAGGACAGTGGACTGTTATTGGTACACTGGCCGCCATGGAGACAAGGATTAGAGTCACAGGGAGAAGGAGAAGGTAACATTAATGAACAATCATCACCTCCTGAGCCATCAGTACAGACACAAGTATAGTTACCAGACCCTGGACTACAGACTGATGTAGAGTTACAGGGAGAGAGTGTAGTACAGAGATCAGTTGGAACTATGGGATACTGACAGGTATCTCCGTAATACCCTCGAGTACATGTACATGTATAAGAGGATGTGTTACCGATACATGTACCTCCATTAAGACAAGGAGATGAATGACAGAGTGATAATAGTTCAGTACAATACTGCCCACCATAACCAAATGGACAGAGACAGTTGTAAGCTCCATACAGTCCTCTCTCACAAGTACCGCCATTTCTACAGTATTCCAGCTCACAGTTATTAAGAGGGAACCGACAGTTAGGGCCCGTGAATCCAACTGAACATGTACATGTATACCCGTTAGTTGTCTCTGTACAGGTTGATCCATTATAACAAGGATTGTTGGAACAACCTCCCTGGAACTGGGCCGACTGTTCACAGAATCGACCAATGAAATCAGAGCTGCAGACACAAGTGAAGGAATCCCTTCCATTGCTACAGGTTCCATTATTGAGACAAGGAGA